ATCCGTTTATTAACTATTGTTACTTTTAATTTATTTTGTGCACACACAGAAATTAATGACAAAGTTACTGTTGGCCTGCAGGTGGAGTAAGCATGACATTGTTGGAGGCACAGTTTAGTGCTGCAATTAAACTAAAATATTGCCTTGACTGATAATCAAGAAGTTGAAAAAAATAACTTCTGCTGGTTAGAAATATGCCTTTTCAGGGAATGCTTCTTTGCATCTTGACAGGGTAGAAAAGTGGGGTTCTTCCTTTTCATATCAAATTGGAATGTATTTCTGAAGATTTTGTATTACATTGCCCTAAATAGTATAAAATAGTATTACATTATAATAGAGCATTTGATTACTAAAGCTATTTTGTCAATTTTGTATTTTATGGATCTGTTTTTATTTCCTTCCGTTTTATGTTTTAATCATGATTTTTAATTTTATCATGCATTTTAATGAAGTTATTCCCCTGGACACGGTTTATATTGGAATTTAATCATTTATTAAATAAAAGAATTATACAACATCCAGTGCAATAGCAAAATATAATTGCTCATTTTGCAACCCTCGGAACTCTTTTCTGAATGAAAGCTATCCTGGGAGTTTATCCTGGGAATTTCACTGCTTGAGCAAACCTGTCAGAACAGTTGAAGGCACTTAACCAATCTTGGATGATCTCAAAAACTAAACTAAGTATCAACTTGATTAATACATGGATGGAAAATTACCAGACAATCTTAGAAATTGCAAGATAATCTGGGAAGTGAAATGCAGGTTGTAAGACAGTTCCATAAGGTTCCCAACAAAATATGGACATGTTTACATGGTCACAAGGCGTCCAACTCAAAAAACTTTAAACATGCACTGTGACAGTGGAATATGCAATTTTCTGAATGAGTTGAAGTCCTCCCACATATCTAATGGCAAAGGATGCTGGGAATTGCATTTCAGAACAACTAAAAGGCTACAGGTTTCCCTTCTTGATTTTTATTATGAAACCATCACTTCTAACCCAAGCCTGTGATAAGCAAGCCATCTGCCATCTCAAAACAAATTCTGCATTCCACTCTTCCTTCCCTTCCCAGGGGTTAATAATCTATCTAATCTGAGTGTTGAATAGATTATGAAAATCATTATGTTTGAAGCTTCAATTCTGTCAAATCTACATATATTCCCACTTTTCTCCACTTGGTGGAGCCCTCAATGTTGGCAAGACAATATGGATGTCCAATTACTTGTAAAACTTGTCATTTTATATTGAAAACACCAAACACTTTTATTAGATGTGTAAATAATGAATTAGGTTTAGCGAATTAATACCTTTTAATATATGACAGGGAGAACTGATAATGCAATTTTAATATCAGTGATGAAGGAAATTAAACTGCAGATAGTTCATACCCTTCTTGAAAACTAGTGAAACTTTCTATAGTAATCAAATTGGGGGCCATTTTTATTGGTAATAGCAACTGGATTAAACTTCAGTTAAATTCCAATATTAGCAATTATATTGATTTTGGGGGAGCTGTTTCTTTATTCAGAGATGCTAGTGACAAACAGCAGGAAGGGCTGATACTTTAATGATATTCATCACAATATTACATTGCATCATATGCAATTGAAATTATCCCAGGAATTTATGTTATAGTCCTTATAAATTTCCCATATGAAAATTGGCTAAATATGGGTTCAGATGAGCTGAAGGCCAGCTGGAACACTGCAGGTATGCTATGATATCTCACTGATTTATAAGCTTTGTAGACAAAGTGGTTAACTTTTTTTAAAAATTGAACATTGTACCAGTGAACCAAATAAGCTGAAGGATTCTTGGACTGCTAATAATTAGCAAACTTGTATCACTGCCATTTTGTAACTACCTTATAATGACAATGCTAATGGAAAATTAATAGCCTATTCCTAGCAATTGTATACTGTTGAGCATTGAGGAAAATGGCCAAAACAGGACTGCTTCTTCTATATATCTAACAGATTAGACTTGACCCATTAATAAACAGCCACTACTACCGGTATACATTTTTCTTTGATTTGAGAGAAAATTATTACTGTTAGAAGCAGTAGTAATTTTATTTTGGATAAAATATTATTATTTCAGTTTGTCCCTGGTTAAGAGGGATATTGATATAAAAATTCAGAAGTACAGTGTGATTTATCCATAATATCCAGGAGAACCTGGATATTAGAAAATGAAAAAAGGCTTACTGTATGTTGCAGAAGAAAGAGAGGAATAACTTAGTCTGTGCAATTCCTATGGAGCTGTCAGTATACAGGCCATCTATTTAGAACCAACTCTCACTGAAGGGAACAGAACACAATCCCAAGAAATTAAGCATAGAAATCTCTTACAGATAAGAGATATTAGAACTTTGGGTGATATCCAAAACCAAAGCAAGGTTTCTAAGGCCAAATTATTTAACAGCAGTACCAGCAAAAATATATCTGGCTAGTCTACCCTATCCTTACTAAAAGTAAAATAAAGTTTGCTAGAACTTCAAGCATCTTCTTTTAGGAAATATTTCTCCATTCATAGACTCAAAATTTCTGAATTCTATGTTAATATATTTTGATTCTGGAGTTCGGTTGATATAATCTTTGGAATTTGCTGATCAGTATTATAAAGCAGTGTTTTTATGACACCTCTTGTTGTGACTATGATTTAAGTATAGTACTATAAAGCAAAAAAATAGAAGTCCATGTAAATTCATAAATGCTGGAAAATTCCTTACTTAATTCCTGGATCTTGTTACTTATCCATCACTCACAATCAAAATTGTTGTTTATTTCCCCTCTTTGCACATCCATAAATTAGAATGTCTGCATATGGACACTCATGAAGTACCCTATTTTCACTTGTGTAGCAACAATGCTAGAATGATGGCTTTACCTATATTTCTGATGTTTAATGTGTAATCTTGAGGCCTGGATTTAGAAATATAAAAAACATCCGACAATTAACCAATTGATTTTTCCAGAGCCATCCATCTCCAGCCTCAACTGAATGCATGCACTTATATAACGTTAAGTTATTCTGAATAACTTGAACTTCTTAGATTCTGGTAAGATTTCTGAATAGATTGCTCCTCTTTAGTTTCTTTGCTCTCTGGCTGCAGAATGAGAAGGAAACATTAATTAATGTTAGATGATACTCATCTAGTTTATTAATAGGTATTTATTTGTAAGATGTATATTCCACATTTCAGTATTTAAAAGTATGCCTACACTTTAATACTAATTGTGAAACTACTGCAATGTAACTAAGGTGATGCCTTGTGATGTTACCTGGAGCCTGTTACCTGAGCCGTGATGGCACAGTGGTCAGAATGCAGTACTGTAGGCTAATTCTGCTGACTGCCCGCTATCTGTAGTTTGGCAGTTCGATTCTCACTGGTTCAAGATTGACTCATCCATCCGAGGTTGGTAAAACGAGGATCCAGATTCTTGGGGGCAATATGCTGACTCTGTAAACCGCTTAGAGAGGGCTGTAAAGTACTGTGAAGTGCTATTACTATTGCTGTGGATTTTGAGTAAATGGAGGATTTTTGTGACTGGGAATTAGATCTGGAAATGGTCAATTCACTTTGAGTTTCAGTGGCTTTGGAGGCACTGCCCCATTCATTCAAAGGCCAGCCCAATCCCTTATCTTCAGAATCCCATTCTTGGAAAGACTGCTGAGAAAGTAGTGGGACAACAGCTATAAAAGCCTCTGGAGGAAACAGATTACCTGGACCCATTTCAATTTAGATTTAGATCTTGATGTGAAACAACTGGAAATACATTAGTATATCTGGTGAAGATGAAGATGACAGAGCAGTCATTCTTCTTCTGTTGGACCTTTCGTTCTCTCAACCATGTTACCCTTCTCTACTGCCTACAAGGAGACACTGCATTGTGGTGGCTTCAACTGCCTGACAAATCCTATAAATTCATGCCAACCAAGAATGGAAAAGGAGGAGCACCTTTAGCTTATCCATTTGGGATCCATCCCATTCTATTAGGTGCTCCAAAACTAATGGAATCACTCATATCAGTAACCCTTAGATAACAGAGCTTTCTTATTACATAAGGAATATGATTCAGAAGGTTATTGTTACAGACAGAGATAAAGAACAAAACATTTCACAATTTTATGCTAGAGAAGCTAACCAGACTATAGTTGAATTTTGCTTTCATGTTAGCTGCTTCTTCACCAGTGGTGGGGAATAGACTATTTGAGGAGGGGGGGGCAACGGGGGAGTGGGGGAAGCAGAGCAAAGATGCTGCTTCTGTCCTGGCTAGTCCTCTGGATCTTCTGCTTGCCCACTTTGCCTAGAAGAGATGGATCCTCCTTCCTACTGGAGCTTATATTTCCCTGATGAAAAGGGGCCACTCCCCACTTATAGTTAATCACCACAAGCCATTGCAACCTCTTTTTTCCTACAAGACCTCTTTGTTTTTTGCCTTCATCTGGTTCCCATTCTAAGAGACAGTCTTAAGTCTCTTTTTGTATTGGTATTTCCGCAGTACTTTCCCCCACAATTTGGCACCAAGGACAGCCTTGAGCTATGTAAAATCTGTTCCGTTTTGTCATTTGTCACCTAACTTGGACGAAAGCCAGGGATTTGAAGCTGAGATTAACAGAGGTAGAATAAGGCAGGGAGCGGCCAATTTCACGCAGGTATTATTTTCAGCCCACTCAAGGATGGCTAGATAATTCTTCAAATCAACGGTGGATAAAAACCCTCGGGGAGATAAGATATTTCTTCCGATTTCACTCGAATCCTAAATCGAGGCATTCGTGCATAAAATAGTCCACGTTCACCCGTCGCACGCCGATTATGCTAAGTAGAATTCAAACGTGTCTATTTGCATGGCTAAGAAGACAGAAACACCAGCCAGGCTTGCTTTCTTTCTTTCTTTCTTTCTTTCTTTCTTTCTTTCTTTCTTTCTTTCTTTCTTTCTTTCTTTCTTTCTTTCTTTCTTTCGTTCCTTCCCTCCCTCCCTCCCTCCCTCTCTCTCTTTTTTGAGTCGCACGGAATTCTTATGGCCTGACCAAGGGTTAAGCGCTTCGCAGCAACCTTGGGGGGACCTTTGCTCATTGGTAATGAACTGACCCCAGATTGCCGCCCAGATTAATCCCTCTCCCACCATTCCGTGCTGCTGCCCTCCTACTCTGTTCCCGCTCAAAGAAAGAGCTCTTTGAAAGCAGCAGCACAATGTGCCTCTCTCCCATCTTTTATTCCAAACGGGCCGAATCCTTTGTGCTTCCCGAGCCGGATGGGAGGAGGGAGGAGCGCTCGGAGATGGCCGCCCGCCTAGCTCCATCCCTTCGCGAAGATGCTACTCGTCGTCGCCACGACCCCCCCAAACCGGCGTCCCAAAGGGCTCTTCTAGCATTCGGGGGGTGCCTTTCTTGAAAGTGCCCTCCGCCCCCCGCCCCGAGAAGCATCGGCCAGCAAAGGGCCCACCTTTCGACGAGCCATTGCCGCTTTAAGCAGAAGGCCATGCTGGGCGGTGGGTTGGGTCCCGGTGCTCCCCCTCGCCTCCCCCCACGTGGTCTCGGTTCTTGTGAATTTCAATCGCTAGAGGGTCCGCGTACAGACACCGGCCCCGCAGCTGAGGCTGGGGCTTCCGTCCGGAATCGGGGTTCCTCCTTATCGCACGGGCTCCTCTTCCCTGCCGCCTTTTAGGCAGGCTCCTGCCGGAATCTGGAACCGGCCACCGGCAGCCACCATGAGCCAAGGCAGCCCCGATCGGGCGAGCCGCGGGCTAGCGCAGCTACCGAGTCCCGGAGCGGCGGCGGACTAAGATCGTGGCAGCCTCCAAGCTCAGCACCAGCCGCGGGAGGAGAATGCAACGAGCGGGTCTGGCCGGGCTGGGCTCCGTGGCCGTGCTCTGGATGCTAGCTTTGGCTTCCTTGGTGGGGCTGTGGAGTGGACGGATCGGGGACCCGAGGACGACCGAGCCGAAGTTCCCGCAGGAGCCGGCCGACTCGCGGTTCGGCGGCATCCAAGTAGCGCCGGCAGCAGCGAGCCGTCCCCTCCAGACAAGTCGCCTCCAAGCCGCCCAGAAAACTTTCCGAGCGCTGCTCACTCTCCCGGGACAGTCGACGGAGCTCCAGGAGGGGCAGGGGGAAAGCGGGCAGGAGCCGCCGCCGCCCTCTCCTCCTTCGGCTCGCCCTCGGCGGGAGAGGCAAGGCGCAATGGGCGCCGAGGAGCAGTTTCCCTTCTTGCCGGTGCGCGGCGGGGTTTTCTGGAGCCAGACCCTGGAGGCTAAGGTGCCACCGGGCTTTCCGGCGGAGGAGTCCGCCTCGTGGCTGCGGGCGGCCCGAGAGGCGCGCGTCGTGTCGCTCGAGCGCGGCGGCTGCGGTCGCAGCTCCAACCGGCTGGCCCGGTTATCGGACGGGAGCCGCGCCTGCGTGCGCTACGGCATCAACCCGGAGCAGATCCAGGGCGAGGCGCTCTCCTACCACCTGGCCGGGCTGCTGGGCATTCAGGAGCGGCTGCCGCCTCTAGCGCTCTCCCGGGTGGAAGCCCGCGGCGGACAGTGGGCGGAAGTGCGCGACGAGCTGCGCGGCTCCCATTGGGCCGAGGGGGCCGTGGTGAGCCTGGCGCGCTGGGTGGACAATCTGACCGACGTGGTGGCCCCCGCCCCCTGGCAAGCTGAGGCGGGGGCGCCGGCGGCGGGCCGGAGGCTGCAGCCCCTGGCGGCGGGGGAGCTGAGAGGCCTGAGCCAGGCGCAGCTGGTGGAGCTGGTGCAGTGGAGCGACTTGATTCTCTTCGACTATCTCACGGCCAACTTCGACCGGCTGGTCAGCAACCTGTTTAGCCTGCAGTGGGACCCGCGCGTCATGCACCGGGCCACCAGCAACCTGCACCGGGCCCCCAATGGGGGATTGGTCTTCCTCGACAACGAGGCCGGCCTGGTGCACGGCTACCGGCTGTTGGCCATGTGGGACAAATACAACGAGCCTCTGCTGCGCTCCGTCTGCGTCTTTCGCGAGGCCACCGCCCAGAGAGTGCGGGAGTTGCACCGCCTGCGCAACGCGGCGTCCGAGCTGCTCAGGCTCTACCGGACTCGGGAGCCCCTGGCCGAGATTCTCGGCTTCCTCTCCGAACAGCAAGCCCAGATGCTCCAGGAGCGCATCGACTTTGTCCACAAGCACATTTTGCACTGCAAAGCCAAGGCCGCCGCTCCGTGATGCTCTTTGGCTTGGCGAAACCACCTGGATTTTATGAGACTCGGAAGGGATTCAGGAATGGGGGGAGAGAAGGGCGTCTGAAGGGGTCTTTCCCCCCTATTCAAGGGCCTGGGGACCAATATCCACCTCTAAAGGAAATCAAGGCTGGAACCCACTTGGGAGTTGACAGGAGCCCCTCCGTGCAGAATGTTCCTGAGGTTTCACGGAGGAATATGTGGCAAGCCCAGCTAAAAATGAACAGGATTCCAAGTTTTTGTTTTGTGAGGATGAATAGCCAGTAGCTGAACTAGTTCTTGTCTCTCAGATACTTTGTTCCTGGAATCTATGTGCAGAATGTGATCTTTTCTTTATCTGACACTCCTAGTGTTAAGTTCCCAGTTCCTGAAGAAAAAGCGCCTTGCTGCCAATTTCCACTCCTCTGGGGAGGCCTGGATGTTCGGGAGAGATGCACTCACATGGCCTTCTGCACCCTGGGAGCCTCCTAGATGCATTGAACCACATCTTACACCATTGCCCCAGCTGGCATGGTGCTGAGGGTGATAGAAGTTGTAATCCTGTTCAACAGGAGGGTGCCATGGATTAAAATGTCATAATCCCCCCCTCCATTTTTTAGAATTAGATGTAACAATCCCCCTTCCCACCTTCTACCCCGGATCTGCACTATTGCCTATTACAGAAAAGGTCAAAAATATCTTCCCAGTCTGCAGTTTTTGTCAGAATTGCTGTGAAGATGCTGACAGTAGTTGGGAGTTAAAAACATAGCCGAGTTTAGGAGATGATTCATGCCTTTGATATAATCTATACATAAAAATTAGCTTTCTCTGTCCACATTTCCCTTATCGGATGTTAAAAGCTCTTAAAAATCAAATTAAAAGGTCCTGTACAAAAGTTGTGGCCAGTGCTTGAATAGAACACCTCCCTTGTCCTTCCACTGGACATCAAGAGCTACATGTGTTTTTTTGTCACACCCTTTTTTTTAAAAAAAGAAAACTCCACAAAACAATTTAATATCTAGATACTGTAACTCTACTTACAGAACAGTGTTTTCTAGTGAATTTCCAGTCAACATGGACAGCAACAAAGTCAACAGTTATAACAAGTATGCAGAAAAGTCAATGTTAACACCTTTTATCCCTTAACAGTGAGAAGTATTTGGCAAAAAAAAAAAAAGTTGTTCCACAGCATTTCTGTTTTATATGTAACCCACTATTGTATAATAAAATGGGGCGGGGGATTTCCAGGTTTATAGTATTGTCAGTGTAGTAAATTTTGATGCATTAATTTGGAGAAAGGAAAAATCAGTTTCTTGCACTTTACTTTCTTTTTATATATACATATATATATACAAAATCTTGTTATTTAAAAAAAGTCTGCATTTTAGGTACATGATATATGTTCTTAAGCCTTTCTGTAATATACTAAAGAACTGGATATTTCAGTAAAGATGTGTTAATGTTTTGCCACTTTTGTATCCAAGTTTTCGATTTCATTGTTCTATGAAGTTTTTATTTTCTTTTTCCATAATTTGAATGGATATTTTTCTTTAGCCCAAGATAGTTAGTGATAGCGTTATTCCACACAGTAGGGAGAAGAATCTGGCATATAGACTTATTTTTTATAGCTGGATTTCCTGCATTAAAGTATTCAAAATCAGATGAATGTCATAGGCTACATAAAACATATGCCTTGTAGATTTTACTGGTCTTTACAAGTGTCCTTCCACATGCTTCCAAGAAAACAATTATTCTAGTTTGATTTAATTCTATCAGTTCAAATTTCAGCACAGCCTACTCTTGACTCTTTCATGGCTGTAAAAATCTTCCTTCAGAACTATCAAAATACTGTACTTATGACTATGAGCAATTTTCAATAGCTGTTAATTTCTTTTACATTTTGGTTTCTGGCAAACAAGTTACAAATGAAAAACCTCTGCCAAGAATAATTTAGGACTTTTTTTTTTTAGCTCAGCTTCTCTTTTGACTGTGGTGGTAGTACCTACAGAAACTGAAATTAAAAGTGTCATGACTTTTGCTAAGCTTTTTCAGTGCTTCAGTCCAGTACTGTATTTATGAATAGAAGTTTCATCCTTTTCACGATAGTCCTCGTGAGTTTTAATGATTTGGCTAAGGGCATTTCTTAGAACTGTTTACATATGGATATGCTGGTGTGGACTGATAACTTATGCTATGTATCAGTAACAATATTGGGGCTCAGATCTTTTGATACTTTGAAGAATCAGTTCTGTACAAGCGAAAGCAGAGGGGGAAGTTTTAATTTCTCACCAACTTTAATCGCTTTGTCACACCTAGAGCATATATAGAGATCAGAGGCAGAAAGAATTCTGCAAGAAGGTAGAATAAGTGCAGGACAGGAGTTCTGGAATTCTTTCTAGTCTTTACCTGTAGCGGCCATGGTTGATGTGTATATTTTTTGTCTGTGTAAAAGGGTACAGAAGCATTTCTATTCTCCCCATGCAGGGCATCTTGTCTGATTAAATATATGTGTGCCCTGGGAAATGGAGGGCAGGTTGTATGTATGCTTTTCTAGGTCATGTGACCAGGAGAGATGTAAGCCGGAAAAATTTCCGGTGACTAAATTTTATGCAGAAAAAAAAAATCACTGGAAAGTAGAAAATTCATCATTTTCCTTCCACCATATCAAACAGTAGCCTAAATACTTGTGCAGTCTATAGATATTGGGATGGATATATTAATAGGAATCATTTGCATAGTACACTTTTCTGAAATATTTTCCAATTCAATTTTTTTTCTCTGTTAACCAAGAGGTGAAGAGCGAACAACTTAAAATGGAGCCATCAGCAATATTCTGATTCAGTGTCTCTCATATAGGGATGAACTAAGAGTATTTAAGTCATTTTTCTCTGGAATGTTTTTCTCTGAAACTCCCCAACCTATCTTACCCATTTTTGAACTCCCTTTTGCCAGCTTTTTCCTCCAAGCCAAATATGCTACTGTTATGCCCCACTTTCACAGAGTTAATCCTGCTGACGGATGGACAGAATCCTGGGCTCCTTTACATAATTTATGGGTAAAATTTCATTAGGTTGGAAAGAATAAAAAGGGTTCTTTCGATGGCTTCTGGTAAATTGCAGCCTTTCAAAAAGCAGTTTTTCAGTAGTGGGATCTCTTTGAACCTTTGTGATCATAATTCCTTCCTTCAGAAATGAAGAACATTGTGGTGTTTGTAAGCAGGCGCACCATGTCTGAGAAGGAAAAATTACGAACAATCTCTAGATGGTGGCAAAGAGTTAAGCGTTTTGTGTATTTATTTTCTGCTATTTTAGTGGAAATCCATATTTTTGCAGCCCAGCTATGGTAGCCCTGGTTAAATACTGGACCTTCAAATGTTTTAACTAAGTTATAATCTCTGAGGGAGATGGATGATTTAGAAATATTGACAAGGTTCTTTATTTAACTCTTATTTATAGCTCACAGCTTTTTATCACTCAGCACAAAGCACAAGCTCCCATGTGGCTTCTTTTGCCATTTACATGATAATATGGAGTTTAACTGTGTAATTTTTTTAACGTGTATGTCAGCATGAGTTTTGTAGCTTACCAGATGCAGTGCCTCAGATTCTTTCACCTAATGAAAATACATTGAAATAACATGGCAGCGGCAGCTTACATTTAAAATCATCTATAAAGGTAAAAGGCAGTGCTGTAAACATCCCAAGATCTTTGTTTAAGCATTCTGGAAATCTCAACTGGATCATGGCTTTGGCGGCTTAACAGATGATTTATCTTCCTTGCCATGGTGTCAAAACTAAGTCTCAGATAATTGCACCTTTCCGAAAGAATCACAGGGCGTCTGCTTTGATGATCAGTAACTATTTTACATGATACACCAACAGTAGGTTCAGAAATGAGGGGCTACATGGAAAGCAGAGGAGAAAGAGGGAGAAAGCTGCAAGCTGTGGAAAAATGGCTTCATAGGGGACAATAAGAATTGGAATATAGATTCCAGAAGTATCAGTGACTTGGTTCAGACATCACGTTATAATACAGCTTTTAACCATGAATTACTAAATGAGAAATATTATCCTAGAAAGTTCATAGCATGAAGCTACAAATCATCATTTATAACCATAGTTGGATTCTGAGCCCAAACCTAAACAATAGAGTGTGATATGCATTTTGCCCTCCTTGGTTCCTATTCTTTATGTTGGTTTTATTTGGTTTGATCTTAATGTTTTATTATAGAATTAATTGCTCTCTCAGTTAAATAGCAATAACATTTAGACTTATATACCACTCCATAGTGCTTTACAGTGCTGTCTGGGTGATTTACAATGTCAGCATATGGCTGGTTCCTCATTTTACTGACTTGGAAGGATGGAAGGCTGAGTCAACTTTGAACCTGTCAGGATCAAATTCTAGACTGTGAGCAGAATTAGCCTGCAATACTGCATTCTAACCACTGAGTCACTAGGACTCCTATGAAACTGGGTGTTGATGAGGTGTATTTATATTCTGTCATTAGATTTCAGTGGGACTCTCACATACCTGAATATTCCTGCTTCCCCAGTTTATCTCTATTTAGAAAACTAGAGAAAAAAAATAGTTCTAGACTAACATTCTGTATCAAGCTTGCTGCAGATCTGAGTAAACTCTGATCTAATAATAATACCAACAACAACAACAACAACAACAACAATAATAATAATAATAATAATAATAATAATAATAATAATAATAATAATAAAGTTGGAAGGGACCTTGGAGGTCATCGAGTGCAACCCTCTACTCAGGCAGGACACCCTTCTGACTTCACAGCCTCTGATATTCTAAGGTTACCAATGAACTTAACTTATGCATTTTTTGTATTAAGACAATAACATGAACAACAGAAGTGTTGCTTTCTGGGCAAAGGCTTTCGAGAGACTTAGTGACAATGGACACAATCAACTTTTCAGCAGCTTTTAGATAAAAGGCAAGATAGGGCAGGTAGCTTTAGCCTTGCTTATCTTTGAATTTATCTTGACACTGAAATGGAAACATTCTTCATTCTACAAAGGCCAAAATAACAGATTTTAAACAAGAGTTGCATTGTGTTCTGATTTACTTTCATAAAAGTAGAACCTAGTTACTTGTTGCTGTTGTTTCCCCAAATTATTTAGTAACAGAAAGTAAAAAAATGAATCATCACATATGAAACAAGATTCATGAATAGTCTTCCAGTTAAAACTGTATAGAAATGTGTCCTGAATCAGTTGGTGAAATTAACAGTATTGCAAACAGTATTGCTCTGGTTAAAATGGACTCTGAATGCTGCAGAAAAAAATTATATTTTTTTTTGCATAATACTTCTGCTCATTCCAGGATCCTGTATCTCTTAAGAAATACAATTGATATAAAAATAAAGGAATGTTCTTTTGTTTATTTTCTTAAAATGAAATAGTTTAAAATAATTCTTTTTTGGTTACATTTCTTGCATTCCAACTCCTTTTCTATATCCAGTTTTAACCCAAACAAGAAGATAAGTGGCTTCATTTTAGTAATTTAGTAATTACTTTGACAGAACATGGCAAAGCATAACAGGTAAATAATTTTTTTTATCCTTTTCACAAGGAAAGCAAGAGCAATATATCTGTTTTGTTTTACTTTTTAAAAAACCTCAATTCTCCAGTCTTAACTTCCTCAGAACCGGAAGATGTTTACAGGGAGCTGAAGCAAAAAAAGGCTTAATAGTTTTGCGTATAGTGTCAGGTTGAATAAAATTTATGGCTTACCACAATAGGACAGGATATATATATTTAAGATATCATCTGCTTAACTACAGCTTCTTAAATCACAGTTTCTTTGCTTATATGCAGATCAGATGTTTAAGTAAAAACATTCTCTAATCATTAAAATAACTATATAAAAATGAAGTATTGTGAAATCATCTACTTACTTTTTATTGAAATCATTTTGTTACAATGATTAAATGATTAACTCTTATTTATTAAATCATAATAGTTCATTTCCCCCACCATATCATAAATCTTGGTTTACAAGCCACAATGGCCTGGACTTGCACAAAATGCTTCAACAAAACTATGTAAACCTGGTTCCCAGGCCTGGAGGCAGCAATTCCCAAGCCTTGTGGATAAGGTTGCTGTTGAATCCTTGTGGGATTTTAAAAATCAGATTGTTCTTATACTCTCTTATTATTGTTGCTTGCTTTTAAAATGTTAAGCCTCCCATAAGACTCCTATGAAGTCTTCAATTTTAAAAATTAAATTCAAATGTTACCAAATTAAATTAAATGATTAAACAAACTACTCAGAGAGATCTGCCCCAGTAAGGAAAAGAAAAGGGATGCAGGTGAAAAGAAGTTAATCTCCCAATTTTCTTTTGCCATACAAGGAATTCTTTATCTTTTAAGAACCCAGTGGAAAGGAGGTTCTCATTCAACATGGAGCAACTGAATAGTCTCTTTCAACTTAAGAGAATCTAGGG